ATCGGCGGCAAACGCTTTTTTTTTTTATTTTTTTTTGGGTCGCTGCTGCTTGCTGGCCCGAAACGCATGTGTTTCGCCAGTTCGTTGTTGAGCGCCTGCTGTCTTGGCTAAAGACTAAAGGGCGCAAGAGCAGCGAAGCCAGGCTGCTGTCTAAAGAGACCAAGCGCTGGCGTGCGGTCCTAGAGCCGCAACAAGTGCTCAGAACAGCTGGGTCGAAGCGTCGGCAGAAGAAGCATTGTGCTCCTTGCGAAATGTCCCCACAAATGTGCACGTTTGCTTGCGTGTGCGACCGGGAATACGTCCTCCAGCTGTCTTCTGAGCTCCCCGTTCTCCTCCAACAAAAACGAACATGTTTCGAGACAAACTTCTGCAGCTGCAGGGGTCGGGCCTCCACCAGGTGTTGCAGGACGATCTCTTGGATCCTCACGTTCACCGGAGGCTCGAAAGCAAGGCCCTACGGCACCACTGGGCTCCACACCGAAATTTGCAATGGATCTGGTAGAGCTCATCGCAAACAGCCTGGAAGCCCGGCACGCTATCGATGCAGAAGGCCGTATTCAAGGCTACAACAGTACTCACAACCAACAACAACTTCAACCTCGAACCAAAGAGCCTTATCAGACTTATCACTTCTGTATTTCGCGACCATGCAGCTGCGAAAGCGACGAGAGTTTTGCATTTCGCAAACACGATGCTCAGAAGCGACGACAACTCTGCACTAGAGCCTTGGCAGGAAGCACTTCGGCAAATGACAAGACGAAAACCCACCCGTCTTTCGGTTGTGCGATTGGATACATCGCGTTCTCGTGGAACACTCAGGGAACATATTGTCAAGCTCTGCACCTTGACATTGAAGACATTGGCAAGGCAGGTATGTTTAAGCGACAGACGAACACGTTCATAGTTTTCGAGCAAACTCAAACATCGCAATCCCCAGGCAATTTCGCGGAGTAGAATCTTACATCCATGCCTCTCGCCTCGCCATTGGCCATTGGATACATAGCCACGTCATGGAACAAGATATTACTTTTCCAAATATACTCCCTGTTCGCCTGGCCAACTGACACATGTAGCCTTTGGCAAGCCACGGTTTTGGAAATTACACATCTGAATTCCAATCCACCCATTTTCAATTTGCGAACACATGCTTTGCAAGCTCAAGGTACCATTGCCTCGGCAAGGAACGCTTGCGGCACTGCAAGGAACAAAATGTTAAATCCAGCCCCAACCACCTTGCCGTTGGATACCTAGCCTTGGCAAGGAATGCTTGGGGACATGATACACGTAACATCCATTCCTCTTACGCCTTGCGAATTGACAGACCGCATTTTGAAAGAACACTTCCGGTAACAGAATCAATCCACCCCCCTTGCATTTTTCCCCCGTGTTATTTGATTTTGCTTTTACTCACCTCTGGCTTTTGCTTTTGCCCCTATCGTTGGCTACCTTCTGTTTTTCGCTATTGCCTTTGCTGAAAGGAAACGCATGACTGAAGCGCAGGAGGAGCTACGACGACCAATGGGAGTGATGGATGCACGGACGATGACGATGAAAATGGCCATCGCGATCACGGGCACAGCCACAGCAGAACGGTCACATGCCGCGCGGGACACAGATTGAGCAAGGTCACGCTCCACGCAAAAAACTGAACCGTTTGAGCCAATACCCCAAGCCTTCTTGAGGTCTTCCAAGCTTTGGCTGCCCTGAAGCGACCATGCGGGGATTAGACAAAAGCGCATGGTGACCCGAGCCTGGATGGAGGTAATCGAGGTAGTAGGCATAACCTGCTGCACCCAAACCGGCCTAGATTGAACAATCGCCCTCGGATTGTGAACAGTGGCGGTGGACGTTGCAATTTCAGGTCTGGTGTGGAAATACATGTGCGGAGGTTTTTTGTCTGATTCAGGCCTGGAAGCCTCGCGTGCTGCTGTTGTGAGTTTTTCTTCGATATGGGTGGCTGCGCAACTGGCAATCCCTGGAAGTGCATACATGGGACCCGAATTTTGAGTCAGCTCGCTGCAAATCAGCTCGCACATCACCGATCTTTCCCCACAGCTAGTAAGGCCAAGATGCGGCAGCAGGGTGGAGTGCTCCATCAACAGCCTCAACAAAACCGGGAAGCTTGCGAAGCATGCGAAGGGCTATCCCAGTCGCTACACACTGGCGACTGGAGTCCTCCGTTTCCACGCCGCTTCGAGACAAGTCCTGGCCAGCGGTACTTCGACAGCAAGCACCTTTTGCGCCCTAATGTAACCTACATAAATAGGTTATACACATACAGAACACCATTGACGTCCTCCGCCTCTTGCACGGATTCTGCCACCTGAATTGCTGTTACTCGAGTATTTGGGCAGCGCACTAGCAACCGTCAGTTGCTCTCAGGATATGAAGCGGCAGACTTCATGCCCTTAGAGTATCGTTCGTTCTACGCGCGATTCAAGCTCGATTCTGTGACCTGGCTACTTGTTGCGCCGTCTAAAGAAGAGTACATGGAGCGGGCTCTCGGCAGAGGCAGACCTGAGTGTACTTATGCTGGGTGCCTTTAGTTAAGACCGGTGCGAAGGCCATAACCTATGGTGGATACATTCGTCAAAACACAGCCCAAGCCTCCGCAAGATGTCTTTCCTTTCTGGCCTCTGGGCCGCCATGCTACGCCGGAAACCAAGAAGCTAAAGACTCCACTTCAAGAAAGGAACCTTTGCCGCCAGCTTCTTGCGCTGACTTCTTGACCTTGGAAAAGGCTATGATACGGGCAAAGAGATGTCGAACAATGACAGACTCAGAGGACACGTGCACCCAGGGATGTTGAAAGCTGAATAAGGCTGGGTGAAGGCAGTTCAGGCTGCGCAGCCCTTTCAGTACTACCCAACAGGGTTGACGCGCGGCTGAACTTCTACTCCCCCACCCACACACACACTATGAGAACACGCAGGTCTGAGCTGGGCGCAACTGTGGTCGCGAGGCCTGCATGCAACACTTCCAAACAGTCTGCGCTCCTCCGGAACACAACACATTCGAAACAGATGCAACCCCGAACAACTCCCCGACCTCCGCCATTTGCGCAAAGAGGGAAGAAGTAAAGACCCGAGCCCATGCTACGGTCAGGGAAAGCTGCAGGGCAGGCGGGACAGGTAATGGGAGGGTGCAAACACAGACTGAAATAGGAGAAAACCAGAATAGACTGAATTGAGACAAGGAAGGCGGAACGGTAACGGGGCAGTAGCTGGAAAGTGGAAACAGCCTGGAGAAAATAGGTAGGGGTTGGAGCCAGTCAGTGAGCAAGACCAATATACAAACGACTCTGCATCAGTGGTGGCGCCGAAATCTGCAACATAAGCAAGGTGCAACACAAAAAGAAAGCAACCACATTGGGAAAGCCTGAGCACATGCAGACAGTATATGCGCCATTCAGGAATTCATTGAAGGTGTCAGGCATACATGCACGGCAAGGCCATTATCGCATCAAGAAGACACCCGACAAACACAAGGAAGCAGTGAGAAGACGCACGACACAAAGCAGGCACCAATATTTGAGCAGCGACCTGTACTGAGCACAAGTTAAAACGCTGTTCTGAAGCTTATCTCAGGCCGTTTCACTCTGTCCCTGGCCATGGTGCGGCATGAACTCCGTTTCCAATTAACTGTATGTTCCTTCTTCGTCGGGCTCTCGATCTGCTGACCCCAGGTTGAAGCGAGGCGCGGCGCGTTCCAAATCACATGCTATGAGTGAATTCGGGAAAATGTGAGACTCATGCCTCTGCTGCCAAAACCTGTGTGAAGTCTCCCTGCGGCGCTCCGCGCTTCGCACCCCCACGCTGCCAGCGCAGCTGCGCGGCCTTCTCAAGATGACGGGTCGTGTAAGATATGTCTGTCGAGGAGAGCCCGCTACCAACCCTATGCCAGGCACGCACCGATTGATGGTAGTGGCTATCAACGGAGGAAGTCCAAGGCCAGACCGAGACAAGTTGGGAAAGAAAGGAGCTGGCTCCCGGTCGAATCGGGACCTGGAAGTCTTGGCAGCGGACCAGTAAGAAGCCGGAGGGAAAGCGCGGGCAAAACGGCAGTGCGCCGAATTGGGCATGGCCTTGACTCTCACAGACCCACAGGCCCTGACCTTCACCCAGCTTTCCCGTACGCCTGCTTGCATCTTCACAGGCTGGCAGTGAACCGTCCAGTCTGGAACAAGCTAGTGGGGCGATTGGATAACACTCCGTCATTTGATGAGAGAAGCTGTCACAATCCTGCACTGCAGCAAGAGCCAGGCGCCGCTCGGTAGAAAGCCTCGCCCTCACACTGGCCCTTTTTTGCAGTACTAGCGACGATCAGTGAGACATACGCGCATCGCGGGGAGGCGGTTTTGCGATCACTCCATATCCCTTAACTCCTGTGTCTTCGCCTTCCTCAAATTGCCGGGGCTGAGTCTGATTGCACAGCCGGCTTCTACAAATCAAGCTCCTACGGTCTATGGCTTATAGCAACGGCAAGGTGGGACAAGTAGAAGTCCGCACATCCGTTGTGCCTGGACGCTGAGACGTTGCCGATGTAACAGCTGGCAAAGGGCACTGTGGCAGTATCGAGTGATTTGAATATTCAAGACAGACGTCGACATGTCCAAGTCGTCCGAGCATCGCAGAGAGGGCTAAGCCATCGACGCCTGAAGGTCGCGCCCCGCAACACCCCACGAGCCGCGCAGCGACGCACGCTGAAACCCCGAAAGCCCTGCAAACTTCCGCACCGAAGTGAAGGCAGGCATGCAAGCCATGCTCCGACCTCTGCATTGCTCTGCATTGCTCTGCGTTTCTCTGCATGACTGCCGCCGCCGCGACCCGCAACTCGTCCGCTCCGCTCATCAAAACCATCCAAGGAATCAAGCAAGACAAGAACATCTGATCGCACAAGCTCTCCGTTTTTTAGCCGAGGATCCGAAAAGTCGGACTAGGTGACTAGACCACTTGGGGTGAGACTGAGGGCGGGAGGATTCGGTAGGATCAAGTTGCAGATCACACCATCTTGCTCTGCAGCTCCACATCGCGCGGAGATGGGTTTGCCGGGTGGCAGAGGTCGTTGCGCACATCCCGGTCCCGATCGGGCGGGTCCCGAGAGGGCTTGAGGCCGTCGAAGCGGATGTCGACACAGCCGCGTTGCATCTGCTGTACCTTGTGGACTGCCGCCGCAGCTGCGAAGACACGACAGGGCTGCAAAAGGAAGCGAAGGAAAAGAAGCCACAAATCTGCTTCCTCGGCCTCTTCTCGCATCACCGATGCTCTTCTGAGGTGCATCACCGCCCATGCCAGCACCGTTAGTGTGAGCAGGACAGCGTCAAAGAGGCACCACCAGTCACGCGTGAAGGACAAGCCCCTAACGAATATGTTGGATACGACTTCTGCAAAGAGCGCGAATGTAACCAGACTCCAGCAGGCACTTTGCCAGGTCCCGCCCTCGAGGATATCATGCCAGCCCTTCGTGTCGCCTTCCAAGGCAAAATCATTCAACCCTGGGACTCCCCGGGCTCCCCTCCTAATGCACTGAAGGTAAAGGAATATAACTGAATGTACTCTGCACAGTACTGGTGCCTACAAGTACTGTAAGTACTGAATGTGTTGGGAGTGCCCTCCGGAAGATTATTTCTTTCCCTGAGATCGGCGCCTGATTTCCAGACATCCACGAGCGTGGAGAGGAAAGCGGCCGCCGCCAGCAGTGAGCAAAGGAGGCAGTAGATGAAGTAAGGCCGTTGGAGGCGCAGCAGCAAGATCTTGTGTCTGAGCTGCTCTGTCCAGTGAACGCTCGCCCCTGCCTCCAAGTCGCATGGCTCCAGAGGGTAGGTTTGCATCGTTTCGCTCTCCCATTGCGTGGAGCCTTCATCCGAGCCCATGGCAAAAAAAAACAACAAAGTGCTTTGCCAGGTGACGGGAGGCTGTACAGCTCGTGGTGCTTGTTCTACCGGTTTAAGCTAGCTGCTGTGCTAACTACTGTTTATAGTCGGGCACTGCCTCGCTCATCCCTCGAAATACATGGCCTGCTCCAGTTGCAACTTCGCAACCACTTTCGATATGCAGACATCCGCTCTCAGCTTGAACACGCATCCAATTGCACTAGGCGGCGCGGAAACATCTGTAACATCTGACCGAAGCAAAGGGAAAGTTCGCCGAAGTCAGGGGGCCTTGCTTCTCTTCCTTTTCTCCCCCGCCGGTGTCGGGGTGTCAGGCGTGAGATCTCACAGCACTGCTGTGAATTACGAATTGGCACACCAGAGTCTGCCTTCCTCGCTATTTCGAGACTGGATTCCGACTGCGCGCGTAAACTCTGCTGTGGAGCCTGACCATCTGAAGTCTCTCGATCCTGCTCATGCCTGCTCGGCTCGCCTCCTTGGAGTCCTTGGGGCATGAGGCTCAGAACAAAGAGAGCAGCTCCCAGAGCAACTAGCAAGTTTCCAGTGCAAAGGCACAAAAGAAATTAGCTGCGAGGCGAGGTGCTCGTGAGCTTGGAAGGAGGAGCTCGAGGGCTTGCGGCCAAGTCCCGGCCTCTCAGCAGCTGTCTTTATGGGGACCGTGAGCATGATTGTGCGCTCGGTGCCCTGAGCATCTCACAAGGGTGGCGCCACCCCACGGGCACGAAGCACCGGAGAAGCCAAGCTGGGGCAGAGGCCAAGCAAGGGCAGTTACAGAAAGCAATTGCCAAAAAGCCAACCCTTGCCAACCACATGAAGTAGCCTGACTCATCGACTCATCGGCGCTGTAGGATGACAGGATGTGACATGAACAAACAATCCGCTGTCTTCCTCCGTGCAAAACGAGGCCTCGGCTCCGAATCCTGGCGCAGGTTGGGGGGGGGTCTCAGTCTCACTTCGCGTTTCAACTGAAGCTGTTCTCCACTCAGAACAGTAGCTCTTGGGTGGAAGTCTGCCAGTCTACCACCCAAGTACTACTGTTCGCGCCTGGGACCGCAGCCGCGGGGACGTGTCGGGTCTGTCGCCTCGTGCTGCCGGTGATCCTCTGAAGCTTGGAGCGAAGCTTGGAGCGAAGCTTGGAGCGAAGCTTGTGTGTGGAGCTTGTGTGTGTGGAGCTTCCAGTGGTTCTTGGCTTTGGACACTTTCATACCACTTCGTGCTCTGCTCTCCGGGGGAGGGGCAGGCGGGGGGGGGGGCGCCATAAGAACCTCATCAGCAAGAAGGCTCGACCCAGACCATGACAGACCCGGATACCATGTCCACTCTCCTCGGCTCATGGGCCGGAGCCGGCCCTGAGAGAAAGGCAGAGAAAGGCAGAGAAAGGCAGAGAAAGGCAGAGCAAGTGGCCGTCGCTTGTGACTCTGTTCTAAGCCTGGCCCTGCCGCCCCGCCTTCTGCACGTTGGCTGCCACCTTGCATGGCACTGGAATCAGCATGTGAGAAATATACTACCAAAACGACAGAAGCAGCCTGGCAAAAGGCAGTTGCCAAAAGAAAAAGAGCACACGGAAATAAAGAAAAGAGGCTCTTACAAGGCACGGCATGTGCTGCGCAAGGTCCGAGCCCGCGGCCCTCGAGGCGAAGGTGAGCGTGGAGTAGCTCTCGTTGGCGTCCGCGGCGTCTGGAGAAACCTGCGCCTCGGCCGGAGGAGAGAAACGGACAGAGAGAGAGAGAGAGAGAGAGAGCAGAGAAAGACAGAGCAACAGAGAGAGAGGGAGAGAGAGAGAGGCGGTTTCGTGAGATGGCAGTGAGAGTGATCAAATGGTCACAGCATGCACAGGCGAAAGTGATAGGGCCAAGGCAAAGAGGAAGGTCTTGCATCCCGGACCCCCCAAAGCATCTTGCAGAAGGTACCTCAGAGCTCTCCGAGACATGCGCACAGGCACGGTCGCTGTTGCGGTCGCGGCCCGAGCCCTGCTTGGCGCGCCGGGTCCCGGGCGTAAGCTTGGAGTTTCTGAAAGGTATGTGCCCCTCGGCTACACAAAGAGTTCGGAATAGAATCAGACGAGAAATCGGAAGATATCTTCGAGAACAATCAGAGAAAATGCCAGCCCCCGCTGCTGGGCGCGGGTCGTTTCCGCTGGAGTCGCCCAAGGCGTACAGAACGTCGGAGAGCGCCGACAGCGATCGGTTGATGCAGTTGGCCTGGCGTGTCAGTCAGAGCTGCGCAGGAGCTGGAGTCGAAGGTGGGAGTTGGTAACAGTGTCTGGAGCCTCCTTCATCTGCACGCCCTCAGCCTGCGACACCTTCGTGCGCTCGCTGCCAGCCAGGTCCACCTTCAAGGAGCGGAAGCTTTGTCACCCGCACAGAGTCCAAAAAAACCCTCAAAGCTTCTGGGGCAGCTTCTCAGGCCACGGCGATGTGCAACACGCCAGGGCCACGACGGCCCTCCTTGCAGGCACAGGACACCAGCTGGAGCGCGACGCCGAACTACTTTCTCTTGCCTCGTCGGCGCCGGCGGATCCTGAGAGCTTCTCACGTCGGAAACGCTTCTCCCAATTCAAAGGACAGAAGGAGCATCACCCGCTCGAACATGCACACCGGGGCCGCCGCTGGCACTCAAGGAGAGCACACAGTGCGAACGAGAGGACCTCCAGAGCACGCTCCCCAAAAAAGGCCCCCCGCCGTCTGCACCTCTCAAGAGTATGATATGTTGTCCGAAAGTGTTCTTTCTGGAAAACGTTGAGCGCGCTGGCCGCTCATTCAAGGCAGTGCTGGCCACGTGGCGCTGGCGCCTGAGACGAAGCAGGCAAACGCAGCTTAAGGCACGGGGAAAGGAAACCAACACACTAAAATCAAAAGCGAAAAGAAACATCGAGGCAGGGACCCTATCCGCTGCAATGCCTGCTCGACGTCACTTGACCTGAAATAAAAACCGCGTCTGTCACATCGCGCGCTTTTCTTGCTGTGTTCTCACAGCCAAAGGGAAGTGCCTTTCACGCCCGCGCATCACATCTTGTCACCTTGCCCTCCCGCTTTTGGCACACCGGGTCTCTTGCTCGCGCACTGCCCAGGACTTCAAGCCCGGAACTCGCATGGAGCCGAAGGGCGAAGGCCTTGGGAAGGGGACGTGCTGTCGAAGGGCGAGATGAAGCCAGGGGAAAAGGAGCTTCCGTCGAAAGGCCCCGGCCAGGATCCCGATCCCTCCTGGGCCACACATGTGCTGCCAAACAGATTCTTTGCCGAGAGAGAAGGAGAGATGGGGAGAGAGAGAGAGAGGGGGAGAGGGAGGGAGGGAGAGAGAGAGAGAGAGAAAGAGAGGGAGAGAGGGAGAGACGGAGGGAGAGGGAGGGAGGGAGAGAGAGAGAGAGAGAGAGAGAGATGGACATGGAGATGGAGATGGAGATAGAGTTGGAGAGCACGAGCGCGCGGCAGGGTTCATGACAACGACTATCAAAAGTGAAGCACAGAAGCCACATGCAAAGCAAAATGCGGAAGGGGGATGCAGAGTGGAGAGCATCAGAGGTAAGGGAAAGCTCGCATCACGGCGTCACGCACAGGACTGCGGATTTCGTTGTTTCGCACTGCGTTTAGGCGCCTCTTTGTCTTTGGACTGCCGCACCTCGAGCCTCTCACCTGGCTTTCCAAAAACTGTGAAACTTCAGGATTTGTGGAGACTGTGCAAACGGAACTGACGGCCGGGGACGGTGCAAGATGCCTCTTGCGGCCTGAGGCTGTCAACAGGCACAAGCTCCTTTGTCCGAATTGCACCCAGGCTCTACCCAGCCCTACCCGGCTCACCCCCAGCCCCACCCTTGCAGACCAACATCTCGTCCGGAATCGGGATCGGACAGAAGATCCTGGCAAAAAGGAAGCACGGCATGTCGTCGCTGCCATGATCTGAAGCTCTGCACCTGGATCGATTCGTTGTAGATCTCCAATGCTGACAGCCTGACATCATACCTCGACACATCTACGATGATTGAAAGCTTAAAGCCATAAAGAGGACTTTCTTGGATGCATTCGGATGCCTTGCACCCTCTGCGTTGAAGGCCAGCTTCAGCAAGTCGGCTATTGCCAAGTCCTCGACCATGGACACAGAAAGCCCCTCATAGAGCCTCTCCCCGCCACTGCCGGACACTGCCCCGGGCACCCGGGTCCTGAATGCCAGGCTCCCCAGAACATCGGTCACCCGCCAGCGTGTACCTTGCCAATTGACTGCCGGACTCTGCCAATTCGCTCAAGGCTGAAAAGTGCATAGCGATAAGATAGCAGAGGCTACAAATTTCTGAGTTAAAGTGGAGCACGTCTTTCCGGCACCCGTCTGGCCGTAGGCAAGGATGCACACCTGGTCCAAGGGGCAGCTGCTCTCAGACTCAATGCAACAAAAACATGAATTCCTGATCACACATCCTTCTATAAAGATCGGCTCTCGTAGTTGTGGCTTCTCTCTGTGACCTCTCAGGAACTATGAATGAACTGAGCAGAAGAGATGGGGACAATCCAGAGAGATGAGAAGGGAATGTCCATACAGAATCGACCTCGCAATTTCTGAATAATTTCTACTTGGCATGTCCGCCCCGGCTACCCCGACCCGACCACCAGAAAAAGAAAACGACAAGCAAGAAACAAAAGAGAAAGAATGAAAAAAAAAAAGTGAATCAAATTCATTTGTGTGAGGCATACGAAATGCATTAGATTTTGCAAGAACTAAGTAGAGGCAAAAACCAAGACAAAAACAAGATTTGTTGTGCTGGCATTTCCGCATTTCAAAGTTTAGACCGTGTCAAACGATGAGTTTATCCCATGGTGTCCCTTTTGCAGTCAAGACACATGAATGCCTTGAAGAACGCCGGGAATCAAGGGCTCCACTTCCTCGCACGCAAACGAAAGCAAGCAGAGTGATCATGATCGTCATGACCTCACGACTTGTCAAATGGGACTTGATCAGCACCTCGTACAAGTCTCGCTGGCTGGCTATCTGGGAGAAGACCCGGTCGAAGCTAAAATCGTGCCTCACAGCATGCCCCGACTTGCCGAAAGCTGCTAAAAGCTCTGTAGGCTTTTCGAGCCGGGTGTTTGGCAAGCGATTGCAAGCTCAATATCCCGTGCTACCGTGGACTCGTCATGCCCAGCCTCTTATCTCCGGCCGGCTTGCGGAGGGAGATGCTGCGGGATCCCTGAGCCTCCGCCCCTCCTCAGCAATTGGAAACACGGACAAAGAGAAAGAGACCGAAAAATGAGCTCAAGAGTCAGAAGCCGCTTTTTTTTGGAAGTGAGTCGAACCCGGAGGGCTTTGGGCCGAGCACCAGGCCAGATCCGAGAGGCCTCCGGCAGCGGCCAAAGCACCAGAGGAGAGTCCATGCTTCATAGGATATATGTTTACATATGCATATGACACATATACATTACATGGCATTACATTACATTGCATTACATTACATTACAGTACACTACATTGCACACGTATGTATGTATGTGCTAACCCCCCCCCAGACCAACCCCCACTCTGGGACTCTAAAAACTAGCTGGTTTTGTAGGTTTGTCTCCTATGGAGATGTAACTCTGGACGGGTATGACGAAGGAAACAGGCGTGTTACATATAGAGAGTGGGCCCCATTACAGGTGCGTGTTTTTCACTGGGCAGATGCGACGTGCGAGTGATGTATATTTTTCTTCCAGGCCCCCCAGACCCATGTATGCTTTGTTTACAAATCCTAAAAACCCTAAAAATCCTTGAAAATCAAGTTTGAAAGGATTTTCCAAGATTTACGCCTTTAAAATGGTTAAATGCTTAAAATAGCACATCCGGGCCGCTTCCCATGTACTTTTTTCCCTTCCTGAGATTTGAAGATTTTTAAAGGTTTGAATGGGTTCGGGGGGGCGGGCTCTCCCCATTAAATACTTTAGGAATTAAAAACATGCATGGCCTGCCTGTTAACATTTTCAAAGACTTCAAACAATACATGGGGAGGGCCCCGGACCCACTATCTTCTTGAAAACCCATGAAACGCTAGAAACTCAGAAACATTCAATGGACAGGGGCCCGGACTTCTTTTAAGGAGTCAATGATTCCTAAAGGCCTTGAAAATCCTTAAAACCCGTGAAAAAACATAAATGGGAAGAGGCCCGGATTGATCTTCTTCAAAGGTGTTTAAGGATTTTGAAGATTCTTAAACCAACCAAATGGGTTTGGGGGGCCCGGGGGCCTTCCCATTGAATTTTCAAAGACTTTAAAGATTTTAATGGCCTTTATGTTTTTCAAAAACCCTTAAACACATAAATGGGGAAGGCCCCTGCCCAGCCCCCCGGACCCATTAAAAAACAATTTTGAACCCTGAAATTCTTGAAAACATTTAAATAGAAATCTTCAACAATCTAAATGGGAAGCGCCCCCGGGTCCCCCAAACCCGGTTAAACTTTAACAATCTTTAAAAGCCCGTCGAGACATGAATCCGTGCCTCTTCCCATTCAGTTGTTTAAGGACTTTCAAGATTTTCCACCAGCAATTACTCGGTTCACCACAAAACAAAACAAACAAACAAACAAACAAAAACAAAAAACTGAACAAACAACATGCAACAAATGGGGCACTATGACCAGGTCATGGGGAACTAGTCTCCCGCAATGTGCATTTTGTTCAGAAAGGAACGCTGCGGGGGCCCCACTTTTCCACACATTGGATTTTAAGTACTTTCTCACGCGTTCGTGCTGTTATCATGTTTTTTCAGAAAGGGACACGCTACGGGCCTGCGTTTTGCAGGCGTGTATTCCGTGTTGTGTTGGGGGGCCAAAAAAGAGAGGAAGGGGGGGAGGGGAACAAACGCAAGGCCCGCCCCCGCCCCCCCCTCCCAGGGAGGACATCACCCCCTACCAGTCTCCCTCTCTATCCCGAGACCCCTATTCTCCCCGAGGATGCTGTACAAGCTTTGCGCGCGGTAAGGCTTATAACGTTAACTGAGTTTTGCGTGTGGCAGTGTATCTCGAGCATGGCACGTACTAGTCGGCAGTCGTGCATTATACTGCATGAAAGAAGTTCAAGGATCCTGATAGCGTGCGATATTTATGTATATGTATATATATATATGTATACATGTATATATCTATATATAAACTACTAATATACTTTCATATTGAAGAGTAGAATTTTGATTCTATACCATGGTATCTAATCATCTAGAATCTGGACGTTACAAAAGCACATAAAAAAATATTCTGAGAGGGAGGCAGGAGCTAGATCTTCTAAAGCCACGAACTCCGGATTTAGGAGTTATGGAATGCGGTACACTGGGCATCACAAGGGCTGCATATGAGGAATAAGGATTGCTGGGACCGAACACTTGTGGCATTTTCTAAGGTGAGGTTTTGCCGTCACCTCTTTGCGTCGGTGCTCGTTGCTATAGTACAGCATAACATAGTATAGTAAATTGGAAATTTTAATTCTATTACAATCATAACTACCAAATTGACAAGTGTTCTTTGGAGGGGGGGGGGCAGGGCTAGATCTTCTAAAGCCATGAACTCCAAATTTAGGAATTATGGAACGCGGTATAAGGGGCATTACAAGTGTGGCAAATATGTTCGTCTTCTTGACGGTCAGAATCAGCTTCCAGAGCAGAAGCTTCTGGATAGACATAGATTCTTGCTTCTTTAAGAGCTTGCAGCTGCACCTGCGCAGAATCAGCAAAACTGGAACTGCCTCCTCGTCCAAGCCCACGAAAAGTTCGTAGAACACACGGCCCTTCTTGCTGCAATGCTCCGGATCCTTCCGGAGAATTGCAGCGAGGGTTCGACGCCCGAGCCTCCAAAAAAAGATTCATTCTAGGACGGAGAAATGCGACTCGGCCCCTGCCTGTCCAGATTGATTTTCAAACTTCTTCTCTGGAGCGGCGAGTCTGGACCCAGGTGCCAGCACGCGTTCCCCCGAAGCCGGCGCTTGCTCCAGGCAAACGCAGACGGCAAGGAGCAGAGCTTGCTTCAGCAATTGCGGCAAAAAGGGCGCGACGCCTTGCATGGGCTGGTCAGAAAAGCAGTATAGCGGGGTGTCGCAATCGCTTCCACACGCTCACACTCGCTAGCTCACAAGAACTAGCTAGATCAGAAAACTGGGTCTGTGGGTCGTATACACCAGCCACAAAACTCCATCTGAAATCCTGATTCTTATGCTCGCACTTCTTGTTCGCTTTGAAAGCTCACAACTCCCCGGGCAGACACAGCACAGGTGTTGTATCATGTTTGCGAATCACATTGCGAGGCAAAGCAAAGGCCGCACACGTGCAGCCACGAGTCATGCAAAAGTTCACAGCCAGCCGACTGATACTGTGGCAAAGCCTGTAGTCTTGCCACGTCTGCGAGTTTGTCCAAGAAAGCCTTGTCAAACCTCACGGACCTTATGTAAGAGCCCAGCAACACGCGAAGTCAAAGAAAGCATTGATGAGCAAGTCCGCTGACCCCCTTGCCCATCATCAACGAGTGTTGCCATTCAGCACGTGCGCAAACCGGTTTCGCATCTTGTTGGTCAGCAAAGCTAGAAGACGAACCACAGCCCCCTAGCCATCGGAAGCCATCGAAAGCGAGCACTGGGACAGACTCATCCAGGGTTCTACCTTGCCCACATGATGCGCGAGCCTTTCTTGCTCTTTGCACTGCGACCCAGTGCCGCATTGCAGTTGGGGAACCAGCGAGAGAAACACAAGCCCCTGGGCACACCCGCGGCACTCAACATGCATATGCACACACGTTACACACGTTGCCGCGACAAGGGAGGGTCAAACCACCCTATTTGTCACGGTGGAATGGGGAGGACCAAGGGTAAAGAGGGTACCAGTTTGCATTCGCGGGGACACAAAGTCGGCGCACAGTCAACGTGGCACTGCTCAAAAGAGCTGGAATATTGCAATGGGCACCAACTGAAAGGGTACAAAACTTATGGCATTTTCTAAAGTGAGGTTGGGCCGTCACTTCTTTGTGTTGGTACCAGAACATCCAAATCCAAAAAATATACATACAAATGCACATATTTAAATCCTGCACAGGCTTTGGCATGCCATTTCTTTGGTTGAAGGGGGGAAGGGGGTGTGGGCCTGCACTCCACTTTCCACACTTCTAAATTAAATGGGCCGTCACATAATGCATTCCTGGTAACGCAAGGGTCCGGGTGTTTTTATCTACAATTGTCTCATGACATGATATCACACAGCAATATCCTAACAAACCATGAAACCACACCAGAAATATGGTTTTCCCTGCAACTCCTGCAACCGCGACTGCTGTTGCTGTCCTTAGGCTCCGCGCCGCCCTCAGAAGTAGGTGTGGCATTGCTACAGGGACTTTAGGGAGCTTTCTTGAGTTGAAATTCCCCTACCGCCCCCTCCTTCCTCCACACACCTACAGTGCCGCCTCTACCGCCCTACCCCCCTCACCCCCTACTCACCCCCTACTACCCCTGCCCCCCCGCGCCCACCCGCCAGAGGCTTCTCTCGAGGGCGGGGGGGGGCCAAAACAAAATTATTTTCCTTCGAACATCCCCACCTTGCTCCGGCCTCGTTAAAAGGAAAAAGCGCAAATAAGATGTTCAAACAACGAAACATTGATTCAAATACGTTTTCTTAGTTTTTTGCTTGCAATTGGGGTTGGGCACTCCGGAGAGAGTCGGGCACTCTCTGGGGTTGGGCACTCCCGGGTTGGGCAGTCCAGAGACTCTGGGGTTGGGCCCTCCAAGGAGACTCTGGGGTTGGGCACTCGAGGGAGACTCTGGGCGTCTCTGCGGCTGGGCACTTTGAGGCTGCGCACTCAGGGAGTTTTGGGGTTGGGCACTCCAGGGACTCTCTAGGAGTAGGCCGGGCGAGGAGAAGAGTTCCGGGCGAGGAGAATTCCGGGCGGGGAGAAGAGTTGAGTTTAAAATCGAACAACCCCACACCGAAGGTGGGGAAATAGGAGGGTCCTCCCATTGTTTTGTGCCACCCCCCACCCTCCCCCTTGCCCCGGCAGGAAAGAGGCTTTAAGGTTTGCAACGTAGTTTCGCCTTTTAGGGTAAGTTTGGGGTCTGAAAATAGAAAACTTCATGCACGACTAGGGCCGCTGAATAAAAATCTAGGGCAGGCCGCGAGAATGAGCCAATATGCCTGACCGGACTCCTGAAATCTCAGACCTAAGCTGATGACGCAAGGGTCACGGGGGGGCGACTTTCCAGTACTCTCCCCGATCTCCGATGGCTTGATACTTTATCTTCGCGCGACCATTCTCAACCTTTTTTGAATTGAGGCCCGACAAACACGAGCGGGAGGCACGAGTATTCTGAGAGCAAATATCTGAGAACGGCTGCTACTATTTCATGTTTCCAGGCAAGAGAATGAAGAGAGGGGGAAGGTTCCAGGATTAGGGTTTAAGGGTTGCGGGTTCGGGAACTACTTAGTGTTTCTAGTACATAGATGTTCAGTTTTGAGGGGATGATACACATATGTGCCCATGGTCTTTAGTATGCTGAGCCCTTAAGACCATGGAAATCCACAAAAAATGTATCTGGCATCCAAATACCATGATACGTGAATTATTTCAAAACAAGTATGAAGTCGTCATAAATTCCCATAACACCACTACATTTGTCCTGTTTTGGTTCTTTATGTATTTATGTGTTTTGTTTTGTTCTGGGGGAAACTGTGACCTACATACAGAACCCACAAATCTTCCCCAATACCCAAAACAATGAAAAAACAACAGTTGGAAATTTTTTTTGGTTCTTGGGATTTGGGGGGAGACTAGCCCGCTGTCTCCGGGGCACAGTCTCCCCAAAACCAAAAGCAAACCAACAAAAACATTGGGACACAATGACCGGGACCTGGCGGACTAGCCTCGTTGTTTTTGTTTTTTTGTTTCTTTTTTTGGTTTGGGAGGGGGGTTTGGTTGTTTTGGTTTGGGGAAAGCTGGTTTTGGCTCCGTCTGATGGTCACAGTTTCCCACAAAACCAAAAAAACCCAAAAAACAAAATGGGAGGCTAGTCCGGGTCATAGTGTCCCATATTTGTGGTTGTTTTTGGTCGTTGTGTTATTCGTGGTTTTTGTGTTTCTGTTTGGTTCTTGTCTTTCCTTGTGTGCTTCTTGCTTTTTGTTTTTTTGGATTTGTTTTTGGTTTTTTTGGTTTGAGGGGTGTTGTTTTTGCCTCCGTCTCCTGGTCACAGTCTCCCTCAAAACCAAAAACGAACAAAATGCGAGGCTAGCCCCCCAGGTCGCGGTCATAGTGTCCCAAATGTTTGCCTTTTTTGGTCTTCGGATTTTTGTTTTTTGTGGTTTTGGTTTGTTTTGTGTTTGTTTTTTGGGCTGTTTTGGTTTTTTGCGGGAACTGTTCCCCGGGCACAGCGGACTAGTCTCCCAAAACGTTGGTTCTGGGTTGTTTGTATGTGTGTGTGTGTACTGCTGCTCTTTGCTTTATGTGGCGGTTGGTCTGGGGGGGGTGCCATATACGTATGTATATACATAACATGTGTACATGTATATATATGTATACATATGTGTACTCATGATATGATATACATGTGCTGGCGTCGCTTCCGGTGCTGTACTTACAGCACGAGAGGCGACGCGCACAAGCGTCTACAATTCAAACTGAGTTGCTCTCAACAATGTCAAGAGATGTCAAGAAACGGCCAAACGCTCAGACTGCCAAGAGTCTGGCTGCTTGGGCGGGCGTATTCGGCAGAACACGCGGATGCTTCCCCGCAGCTCCTAGCCAACACAGAGGGGCTCTACTTGGGCTCTCCATTTTCAGAACCCTTGTATGCCTCTGGCAGCCCTCCGCGCTCCTGGACCAGGTTCTGCAGGGCTCGCACCTTTCGACCACGAAGGAAGCAACGATCGAAAAAAGAAGAAGCAGAGGAAGTTCGGGGACTTGAAGCGCCTGCGTTTGAGAATGGTGTGGATATGAGGTTTGCGCTCACTAGAATCTAGAAGATCTCACACAATCAACGCATGGGGGGAAAAGATGCGCTTTCAAACACGTTGAAGTCGTTGATGCTGCAGCAGCACGGGGTACGGACCCCCTCTCAGTAAAGAAAGCAGCAGAGTTACAACTTGCAACCTCTTCGTCTTTCGGGGCCCTCCAAGCCTCCCAGCCTCTGTGCCCCCAAATGTTGTGTTGTGCGATGGAGGTGCTATCTCAGGTGCCATTAAAGTTCAGGGCATCATTGTTAATTACGAAGTGTGGAGAGCAGGCCAGCCCAACGGTGTGTCTCTACATCTGTGGACGCGCCCATGTCTCGTGCGCCTCGCTGCGCAACGCGCGCTTCTCGTGCTCCAAGGACGCCACGGCAATCTCCTCCCAGCGCCAACATTCCAACATCATTATATCCCGCAAGAATGACATGACATGGACATATCTGTGGCTTGATTGCGGCCCATTGCCACTCATTGCAACACCCCAAGCGCCTTCTGCGCGAGCTTTCTTTCCAACTGTGCGACGCGGTCGTCATGCGCTTGCTGGTGCACCTTTTTGAGCATATTCTAGAACACGTATGGAAACAGTTGGCACTGCTTAGGTCTAGCGTCCCCTGGCCTCCTGGCCATCATTCCACGTTACGGACAGCCTGGCCCATGTGTTGAAGTGGCATTTGAGGCATTTGAGTCATTAGCGCAAACTCCTCCAAACACTGATGATCTGTGAGCCTGTTGTCGCCCATCACACTCGCAAGCCAGGCGTACAGCTCTGACCTGGCTATTCAAAATGTCGCAAACGCCAAGGGATCCACATTTCACGATTTCCGGCACTCACTCAAGAATCTTGCATGGTGGGCATGCTCTCGTGACCCTTGTGCGGATATGTTGTAGAAAAGTGGTAAGTTGAGAGTGCGCCCATGCCAGTAGGATGAGGTCTCTTCCAACAAAGAATCCCGCCCGCAGGTGACCCGGCATTGAGAACTGCTGCGTCATTGACATACTTTATCCGGCGGGGTTGAAAAGGTTATTTGACCAGTAACGAAGGAGTTCTACGGCCGCCTTCCTGTCAAAGCGGTGCAAGCGTTGCTGCACGAATTCTCAGAAAGCAAATGAAGTAAATGCCAGAAACACACCTCTGGGCTCATCTAATCACCGCCACAGTCGCTTGAGCTGAAGGCGGAGTCCCATCTTCTGAAAAAGGTCCACCCACCACCCCCTCGATCACCCGACCCTCGCTTCCTCTCATTTTGACGGCTCTTGCATCGAGCACCGACATCTGCCTGCATGGGAATGGGCTTCTCGGTTGAGGGCCTCGAAAAAAGGCAACAGGCCCCAAACAGGCCTTCATCATGCCCCAGAACTCCATGAACTCCAACTAAACTCCAAATATACGCTCCACTCCTACGAGGCTGCAGACTGCAGATCTTCGGAGGCAGTCGCGGAGCGCAACACTTATTGAGTTTTTTGAATTCTGCCTGCCCAACCCCCCCCCCCCCAAAAAAAAAAAAAAACTCAACAAAAGGCTCTCTCTGAACAACAGAGGCCAAGGGGCATTTCGGCGAGGAGCCCGGGCTCAAGGGATGGCCTGAAAAAGTGCTGAAGAGCTGCTTTGCAAGCTTCAGATTTCAGAGAAAAATGGACAGAGAGGGGCTGTGTATGGCTGTGTATGGCGCTGTGGCCTTTTTGGGGGTAGTCTGTGCTCACTGCCCTCCCTACCCAGTCACTACCTTCACACCTCCCTGTCCGCGCCTCTCTGACTGGGAAAGCTGCTGCAGTGTGCTGTGGAGCTTGGGCTGTCGCTCCTGCAAGGATGGCTGCATCATGCTTGTATGATGCTGCAAAGGGCCCTTGCGAGATGCTCTTCCAGCGATGATCTACGATGATCTGCAACGTGCGCTACACAGCCCAAAAGCCCCCGGCACCTCGAAGGATTGTGAGGCACTGACGTCAGCGTGGAGGTGGCTTTGCGTCCCACGCCGGAGGAGCACCTGAGACTAACGCGGAATGGCCAGCATCATGGAGTAATAAGCGGCTTTTTTTTGCCATCCCAGTCCTCTCAATGTCGACCCACTACATTGATGTTACCTTGCTTGAGAAGTCCATGCCCCCAGGCCTGACCACAACATAGCACAACACTGCGTGCACAAGATGCGTACCCAGCATGCCCGGATACTCTCGATCTCTTTTGCTTGGAGCATCTGCTGTTCTGTGTTGTTCGCTGGGCCCTCGGCGTCCAAGAAGCTGGCTAGCCAGCGACGCCAAGCCTTAGCGGCGCGCAAAAACGTGTCTTGTTTTTTGTGCGGGGCTAGGCGACATGACAGACCTTCTCGGCCTCCCAACCCTGCTCGGCAACTATCTGAACATCTGCGTCACTTGAAGCCCCACAGCCAAACCAGAGAGCAGGGAGAGCAGGGCGGAGCGGCTGGGCGCCGGGCCGCAGCCTCCTCCAGCGCGGCGCGCTCCGCGCCGCGGGCCCCGCGCTCCGCCGCCTGCGCCGCCGAGGCGGCCCGCTGCAGGGCCTCCCGCCTTTGTTGAGAAAAATTTCACATGGACAGAAAAGAGAGAAACAGATCCAGAGAAGCAGTCTGAGGGGCTCCCGCTGCAACTGCAACTCGGCGGCACATTGCAACTGTTTTGCAATTCTATGCAAGTTGTTGCAAGCTGGGCGGCTCCTGGTCCAGCGCGCACCACTTGTGGTGGTGCCGGTCCTTGGACCGTCTGGCTTCCTGGGCCTCCTCCTTCAAACTCTCGCCACGCTGCAAAGCCTCTGCACCATAGAGAGATGGAGAGCTACGAGGAGCTACGAGGAGCTACGAGCCATCAAAAATAAGAAAACCGCAGAAGCTCTCACAGCTTCTGCTTCGGCGCCTGGGACAATGCCGCCTGCATCTCGGCCTGCTGCGCGTTGCTCTTCTGCAGCGCGGAGATGCCTGACTCAGAGACAGGAGAAGCACAACAGGACTTCTCCTCTCCACCTTAACCGTTTGAACCCGGAAGACTTCAAAACAGACACACAAATCACACATCCTCTCAGTTCTTCTTTTGTTTGAGGCCGCGGCTGTGCTGCATCTTCCGGCGCAGGTCCTCGAACTCCGGCAGGCACCAGCGCTTGGGCTGTGCAGGCTGCGCAAGGGCTGCGAGCACCGCAGGCGGCGCAGGCGGCGCCGCTGCTTTGGGGCTGCCATAGTCGCCGTAGTCTGGTGAGCGGCCCGGTGAGCGGCCCGGTGAGCGGCCTGCTGGGCTCGGTGGCCCCGGTCTTTCAGGTGACGTGGGCAAAGGCTGCAAAGGCTGCAAAGGCTGCGGGGACTGCACGGCGCAGTCCTGCAAAGGCGATCGCTCCCCGGGCACAAAGGTGGGGCTCCACGTCTGCGTGCTTGTGGAGGGCAACGGGGCATCACCGCCACCCGAGGCAGCAAAGGCACCAAGGTTTCGCTGGCTTCGGGCGGTTTCTGCCCTCACACGGTCGCCCAGAGACTGCTCGTACAGGCACCCTCTGATCTCGGCACATTTCCGTTGAAATCTGCCAAGATCGGGGTTCGTCGAATTCGCCAGGTTCGCCGGGTCCGCCGGGTTCCAAGAGCCGGCGAAATTCTCTTTCTCCGGGGTGTGCAGACTTTGCAGGGCTTGGTGCTGTGACTTCCCTGGACTGCGCAAAGCCGGCGAAAACACCATTCTACAAATGACCGCCTTGCATGGCGCTCGGGGCCGAAACTACCCTATCTAGTGTCCACAACTGCACCAACAACTTCGAGATCGCTTAGATCGTTTCAGCTGCATGCATGCAACCTATGCTGCGCAAGATCGTCTGAGGACCTAATGAAGTGCCGCACAATGTTGCACAATGTGGTTCGCAGTCATTCGCACGGACAACTTTCCACCATGACTGGAGTGGCCAGACTCTGAATTCGAAGCTAAATGGCAGGCAGGTGCCCCCTTCGCATGTGTAGTGATGTGTAGTGCAAGCACCCCTGCCTTCGCAACTCGAGAGCATTGAATGTAACCTATGGACCTTATAAAAGGAATCAACTACATCAGGATGCGGCATTCATCTGAGATGAAGTTGCTCTACACCCGCAAGCGCGAGCACACAATGTTACTGCGCGGGGCTATGGGTATGTCAGGCTTAGGAGGCTCCAGGCTGCTGGGCTCCCCTGGGGGCAGCTGTAGCAGGCAAGATGGAGGGCAGCTGCTCTGCCCCAAACCCTACAATTCCCAAGCCCTCTACCCTTAAACCCTAAACCCTTAAACCCTAGTAGCTTACACGCCATGGCCTTGCCCCTCTTAGAGCTTCCGGATAGAGCTTCCGGAGGAAAGATCCCTGCAACGGGCAACAGCTTCTTCTTTCGCCGGCTTACCTCAGAACCTGCTGGTCTTGAAGCTGCGCCACATATTCGCGCAGGACTGGATCAACGACCTCCCGGAAGTCATGCTCCTTACTTCTTCGGCTTCACTTCAACCAAAGGACAAGCTCGTTCATCGCATCCGGTTCAACACACACGCTTGCGCAGAGGTTCACTGGAGGTGAATACACATGAGCTTGTTTTGTGAGTACAGATGATGAGTAGCTTCGCTCCACAAAAAGGAAGGCTCGGAAACAGAAGGCTTCTCAAATGTTTCGGGGGAAGGCTCGGACTTGGAGGCCTCTTGCCCGAAGTGGCCGTCCACGTAGCCGGTGAAGATCCCCCTGGTCTCGAACTCGTAGTAAAGCACGTAACGGTCGGATGCGCCATGGTGCTCCACAGCCCGGTGGTCGACAAAGGAATCGTAAAGCATGATGGAGCCATGGGGAATGTTCGTAACCACTTCGTAGCCAGGGCTGTCCATCAGGTGGGACCCAGGCCGCAGCGCTAAGGGGCCATTGTTGGCTACCAGGGGCGTTAGCGGGACTCCAACAGTCAGTTGCGCGAAGGGGCCCGGTAAAATGATATCCCGGTGACGCGTCATCAGGGGCGACTGCTTGGGGGTCTTGGTGATCATCACCCGTCCTAGCCAAGGCCCCAGCTCTTCGGCTTTCCCCACACAGGTGCAGCCATGTGGTGGGTCGGTAGCCAAGGGACCTTGCTGAGGCGGCACGGCGTAGAACCAATCCATGTCAGAGCCCTGCGTCACCCACTGGCACCAGGCAGCCTGCTGCTCCTCCTCAGAGCGACCGCAGGCCATGTTGTTGATCACGTACCGGGCTGTGACCTGCAGCACCAGGTCGTTGGGCACCAGCCACTCCGCGCTCCACGGCTCCTTAAGAAAAAAGCAGACAGAGAGAGAGAGAGAAAGAGAGAGACAGAGAGAGAGAGAGAGAGAGAGACAGAGAGAGAGAGAGAGAGAAAAAAAAAAAAAAAACAATCAAAAGAGTGTCTTTTCATAGGGGTTGTGTGTCTTCTTCTGTCTCTCGTTTCCTCTTCTTCTGCTGCCCCGCGGGGAATATGGAGTATAAGACCATCCCTACTCGTTTTTTCCTTCTTTCTTTCTTGGGGCATAGGGTTCTCCCTCCCCATACTCGTCTCTCTGTCTGTCTCTCGCACTAACTCACTCTCCCTCTCTATAAATGTTGCTCTCTCGTGTGGTCCCTCTCCGGTTGTGTCCTCGTAGGGCACGTGGACCTGGGATCGGTCGGCGCGGAGCGGGGAGGTGAAGTAGCCCTTGGGCAGCCCCTCGAAGTGGCGCACCGCCGCCGCCTCCATGGCCAGCTGCTCCTCTGCGGGGACCATGCCCTCCAGCACGGCGAAGCCGTTCTTTCGCAGCACCATCAACACCTGCAGACTGAACCGGCTAACTCGGAGAAGGCTGTCCCCGCAAGCTTCTCTCAATCTGACTCGTATGACTCTCACCGGCTCTGGGGTCTAACTGCTTTTTCGAACCCCTACCTGGTCGACCAGTTGCTGCCTCTCCGCACTCCCAGGTGGGGACGTGTGCCATGTACTGCAGTCCACCGCGTAGCTCCGCGCGAGCGGGCTTGCCGCTGGACCGTACCTGGGCACAAGCTGTCGAAGCTTGAAAAACTGATGTTTAGAGAGCAGCTGTGGAGAAGGCCATCGCTCTAAACCGTGAAAACCCACGTCTTCACGTGATCTCCTGAAGTGCAGCTACGGAACATGTACAGGCGTGGTGGCGCAATGGTGTCGTCAACACCTCCATTCTGGTTGGCAAACGGCTGGACTTCAGCACCGACTGGATAGTCGGGATGCCCTGGCGGGGGCACGGGGACAGAATCGCCGTAGAAGCTGCGAAGTCCACGTAAGCGTCTCCGCGCTTGCCAAGCTGGAGTGAACTGAGTGAACTCCAGTTCGTGCAGTCTGTGTCTCTGTGGCCAGAGCCCTAGAAGCAGAAGCAGCAGCAAAGTGCCCCGCCTCATGGGCTAAAGCGACGCCACGCTAAACCACGCTAAGCCCCGGTGAAACTGGAACAGGGTACCGGAGAGTACCCGAGGGCACAGCAGAGTGCTGCCGGGTCCCGGGCCAAAACTGCAGGGGCTCCCTTCATTGCTGAACAGAATGCCCGTCTTGGGGCGACTCGGGGGCGGGATTTTACGGGATTCAGGCTTCTCGTGTGTTTACGAAGATTTCATGATTCATGGGGGGGCCTCCTGGGAAAAATTGAAAGTCCAAATAAATTACATCTGATGCCTCCCTCCGGATGTACATTATGTGAATTATATAATTCTGCCAGGAGCAGGCACGTTATGTAAATTAGTAAAATAATTCAGAATTCTCTGGTTTATGTAAACCTCGGCTTCCTGCCGAGAAGCGTCGAACAAGCAGGCCCTAACCCAACCCTTCCCCCCACACAAAAGTTTGTGCCCCCCCTCCCTGTGGGAGCTGCAAACCGATGCCGTGGAGTGTCCCGCCTTTCGGCTCCTACAGAGGGACCCGAGAGAAAGAAAGATCGAAACATAAAGACTGAAAGAGAAAATGTGAGAGGGAAACAAAAAGAGAGAGAGAGAGAGCAAGAGAGCAAGAGAGCAAGAGAGCAAGAGAGCAAGAGAGCAAGAGAGCAAGAGAGCAAGAGAGCAAGAGAGCAAGAGAGCAAGAGAGCAAGAGAGCAAGAGAGCAAGAGAGCAAGAGAGCAAGAGAGAAAGAGAGAAAGAGAGAAAGAGAGAAAGAGAAAAAAAGAGAAACAGATAAAGAGAGAAAGAGATAAAGAGAGAAAGAGAGAAAGAGAGAAAGAGAGAAAGAGAGAAAGAGAGAAAGAGAGAAAGAGAGAAAGAGAGAATAAAGGGAAATGTATGTTTAGAGTCTCACTTCTCTGGTTTCGAATAATGAAAGAAAAAAACAAATACAAAAACACAACAAGATCGACGGGGTGGAATTTAGAAGAAATTCTCTCTTCCTAAAGGGAAGTTAACGTTAAGAGTCTCACTTCTTTGATTTCGAACAATGAAATCCAAAAAACAAAACAACATTCGAGGGGAGTGGAATTTTAGAATAATTCCCTTCTCTCTCTTCAAGATAAATTAATGTTTAGAGTCTCACTTGTCGCCCTTAAGCCCCCCTTGAACCCCAGGCCCTTTTGGAGAAGAATTTTTTCTCGTGGTCAACCACCCTACCGCGTTGAAGCCGATATTTGGAAGGGAAAGCGAAGTAGCTGGTGAGGAGGAATCTACGCCAAGTCCAGCAAAGCAAAGCAAGCAGGGCCTGGAACGAGTCGTTGCTCCAACCTCCCTCGAAAGAGAAGCTCAAAGCCTGAGTTCCTCTCAGTGCTCGATGTCGCTTTGAACTTGTTTCCTGATGGCCGCCGTGCAGCATCCCCTTAATCAGCCGTCAAAACTCCTTTTCCGCGCTTGTATGTTGTAGGTCAGCAGAGCCTGTAGGCGCAAGGCCCGGAACACATGCAACACAAATTCATATGACTTTCGTGTCATGCGGTGTGGAGAATGCAAGGCAGGCTCTGAATCGCCCTAGAAGATGGAAGCGTGCTGAGCGCACCAGATTGACAAGTCCACTGTGGGGCATCTAGCGCATGCTAGCTGCTAAACTTGAAGAACACAAAGGCACGTCACTTCGCCGGTCGCCCTAAATGATCACAAAAAGAATGCAGAAGCCTTGGAACTTGCCATCAAGGGCTCTGCCCAAGCCTCTTCCTTGGCCCACTCAGGGCCCTGGCCCTGCTATGCACCACTCGTAGCGTCTCATCCGGTCCGCATCGCAGTTATTGGGACGCAGACATCCTGAGACCTTGACACCATCGGAGTGGTTTCGTCTCGCCTCCCATCGTTCCCAACCGTAAGGCCCGATACCTTGACAGCCGTGACGTGTGGTCGCTTGACTTCCCGTGGCACGTGTGGGGGTTTTGAAACGTCAAGAGACAAAGGCAACTGCAGGCAAGACTGGAAGTTGATGTTCCAGGGAGGCTCTTTCAGATGCCATGCCAAATGGCTTGCACACGCAGAGTCAAGACGCAAAAAGCTCACGTGCCCCACGAAGCTCAACTGTCGGAACAGACATGCTAATTAAAGAAACCAGGCCTGAGGCAGGCAAGAAGGCAGGGCGGACTTGGCGAGAGTTGAGCAAAAGGTAAGCGACCCGCCTGCTACTCAAGCCAGACCAGACACCCTCTGTGGGACTGAGGGGGCGCAGCGCCAACGCCTCTACCAGGTGTTCTCTCATCGGGGCCAACCTACACAAGGAGAGGCAAAAGAACAGTCGAGAAGCCGAAACCGCACGGTAAATGGTCCTGACACCAGGCTCAGACTCCGCAATCCTCCAACCACAATTACTGTTACATGAACACTGTCTTTCAAGCCTTTGTTTACACATGGAAGCAGGCGGGTTCACAGCCTGGGATGCTGGAGAAGCTTGGAGCCAGTGGTAAGGCGGCGCTGGGTCGACCACAACCGATCATGATCACTAGCATGTTTTTCAAACTGTTCTTCAGGGCCGAATCCCAAACAACAACATGACGTTGCTGAGTTCCTTCATCATCTTGTTCATTCAAGCAACATCTGTTAACGCCTGGTCTGAACACTCGAGCTGGAACTAGATGCATGAGTCTCTCTCTTAGGGTGAAAATGTTTTGAACTCTCAAAGACGCCTTCAGATGCAATTTGATCTCAAAGTGAAACAACTGAGTGCATGAAATACTGCAAAGCAAATCACATCATAAAATGGGGACTTTCGATACGGCAAACTGTTCAACACCCCGCCTCGATGCTGCATTGAGGTGGCGGAATGCTTGCTTCGTCTACTTCACATTTGCCGATGCCCCACAGGAAACAACAACATACTTAGTTCAGGACTGCACTCCAAAAGTGTTGGCGTCTTCTAAGCTCTGCCTCAACGGTCTTTGGCTTAGCTACAACTACGCAGCACTGTACAGCTACGGCCTATGCAGAATCTCTTCCCACCGGCTGGTAAGGACAGAGATGCAGATGCTTGTATGGCCCAAGCGCAAGCACACAAGGTCTTTTCAAGATCTCGTCCAAGATTGAGACGGCCTAGTTACCATCAGGGCACGATTGCCCTCTGCGGGTTCAGGGTGCTCCACACCCATCACAGTCGATGTCTGGTTGTCACAACGAGATTGACACCAAATTGGTGTGACAAAGCTGTAGAGAGATTGCTGGATTTCAAGTTCCACACGGACTGGCAAGTGAAGTTTCATGAGCATCACAAGCTATGTACATAAAGCTATATACATGCGACCACTGCGCAGCATCATGAACATTTCCAAGTGGAATGAAAACACTGGATCATCCTCCACACACTTTGCATGGCTGATAGCCTCGCCTCATGGCTTCACGCTTGCTGTACCTGAGTACCCGCTTCGCACACTTCAGCTGCGGACACTCGCGGAAGGTCTGGTGTCCGAAGTGGTGCACTAGGCTGCCCGGCGCCTGGTGCTGCAGACGAAGGTGCAGCCGTCGGATCTGGCTTATTTTCACTCGCGTCTCCATCTGTTGCTTGCTGTGGCAAGTTAAGGTTGGAGTCTGTCTCAGGGACCTCGGCGGGTTTGGGACTTTCTATCCCCAGGAACCGAAACCCCACTAACCTCTACGTGCACTCGCACTGTGGGTGCACTTGCTGCTTTTGCCTCAGCAGTCTTACGTAGATGTGTCGCTCTGTTCCGACTGCAACAGAAACAGATACACATAGCAACGAAGATCACGATCTGGGTGAGTGTCAGGCTCACTTGCGGGTAATTAACCATAAAGTCATGGATCAAGAAAATCGCATGTAGCACTTCTTCAAGAAAACTCCACAGCATGCTCTCGTAGCCACCATCAGCCTCATCACTAGTGTTCTGGCCCAAGGCGTTAGCACTGGTATTGGACTCATCTGGGTTGACACCAGCGATGCTATCAAGCTGAAGGATTAACGCAAGAACCTGAAGAACTTGTTGCACGTTCACTGATCCCTTCTTGACTACTCTGCAAATCTTCCGTCGCAATTCGTGATCAAGCAGCTCTGACTCGCTGAAACCCATTGTCCTTGCAGCGCACGTTCAGCCTTCCAAGCAGGAACTCAATCCTCTCAGGCTTAAGTTTTTGTCGGCAAGTCCGACACGTTGTCGCGCGTGCCTACGGGAATCACTTTAAGAAGTTTCTCCTGTGTCTTTTGCTGAAGCCACAGCAACTTCCCGTCTATGTGCCGTGTTCGTCCTACCCCTTGCCGATTGCCAAGGGATCTGGCGCTTCACATCAAGGTCTGGGCACACGTGGCATATGCAGTTCTGCAACAGAATGGCGGTGGCGCTGCCTGCAACAAGCGAGTTACACTTGGCTTCACACGACAACAGGCTTATAACCTTTTGCGTGTAAGAGCTTGAATAAAGAAGATCCCATACCACGCAACAAGCAGACACGCTGCGGCGCGTGCGCTTGTCTTCTCCAGTCGCTGTCTGAGAACATCTTAAGCACTGAATTTTTGTGCTCAGAGCTTGCAGAAATTGAAGATGATGACGACGACAACAGTAAAACTAAAGCCGTTAAAGCGAGCAGGAAGGCGGAAGAGAAGGCCATCGCGAAAGCTAACGCGATGGAAGATGAGAATACCAGCCTTAAGCGGGAAATGGAGAAGCTGAGAGCTAAGATCATAGAATTGGAAAGAATGCGTCAGGAGATTACGCAAACTCTGATCTCCGTAAGGCGTTTAATACGGTAATATCTCCATTCGCTCTAAAGTTAAGAGAGGCAATAACATATAACCCAGTTCAGGCTACTGAAAATATCGTCGTACCGTGGACAGGTGATTTTATGCGAATGACGCTCGCTTGCGGCGTTGGCGGCGCTTGCCGTGCGCAGGCAAGCGTTTCCGAGCCTGCTAACTGCGGCACCGCTTGCCGTGTGCAGGCAAGCGTGCCCGCTTGCACTTAGATCCTGTCCCTTTAAGGCCAGAACTTTAGAAGCACAGTGCCCAA